CTGGAAGCTGCCGGGGGAGGACAAGCTGGCCGAGTTCTTGCGGGACCCCTGGCATTACTACGACCCGAACGGGTTCAACGCTCACTACCTCCAAAACCTTCTCTTCTTCGATCTGGGCTACGACAACAACATGAACGCCGACAGCCCGCTGGTGGAGCAGCGCATCCGGGAGATAGAGCGGCGCTTCCACCTGGTCATGCTGCTGGAGTACTTCGACGAGTCCCTGGTGCTGCTGAAGGAGCTGCTGTGCTGGCAGCTGGAGGATATCCTCTACTTCAAGCTCAACGCTCGCAAGGGTTCCACCGTGTCCCGGCTGACGCCTGAGCTCTACGACAAGGCGACTGCTTGGAACCTCATTGATGCCAAGCTCTACCGATATTTCAATGCCACCTTTTGGCGGAAAGTGGAGGCCTACGGGAGGGAGCGGATGGCCAAAGACGTGGCTGAGCTGCAGCGGGAGAATGAGAAGATGAAGAGCATCTGCATTGACGGGGGGCACGCCGTGGACGCCAGCGCCATCCAGGAGTCGTCCATGCAGCCCTGGCAGCCGCTGGGGGAGAAATCCATCCTGGGCTACAACTTGAAGAAGAAGATCAACAAGAAGCACCAGAAGCTGTGCCGCAAGATGCTGACGCCTGAGATCCAGTACCTGACGGACCTCGGGGTCAACCTGTGGATCACCAAGCTGTGGAGCCGCGTGCGGGACTTCCTCAAGTGGTAGGAGCAGCAGGTGCCCTGCAGGAGAGCTGGCGGCTCACGTCTTCCTTCCTTCATGTGTCTTTGGTTTAGACACGAGCAGGACACCATGGTGGGTCCCCAGCCAACCCCCGGGCACTCAAGAGTGGCAGAGGTGACGTGGGGACCCAGTTTGGAGGACGCAGGCTGTATGGGTTGCTTGGGGGTTTGAGGTTTTTCCCAACAGGATCCACTTCTTCTTTCCATGTGGAAATGCCAGAGATGATACGTGAAGGGCAGGGCCCCAGTGTCCCTGTTGCAGTGATGGACATCCACCACCGCGTCCCTGGAAGTGCACAGTGGGTCAGGCAGCAGTGGGACCCATGGAGCATGGGGCCAGGGACCTGCAGTGGTTTTGGAGCTCACACTGACTCACACCCAAAGGGCTGCTTTCACCACTCCCTATCCTTCCATCCCAGAGTTTGGGCTCCCTATCCGAGCCCATCATGCCAACCATGCTGCTTGGGCTTCCCCAGCCCGTGGCTCCTCAGTGAACCTGTGGCTGTTGGTCCCCCAGTGAGCCCCATCAGGTTTCTAAGCATTGTCCATGCTTGAGTTTGGAGAGCATCAAAACCACCCCAAAGCCTGTGCCAGCAGTGGTCCCCAGCGTGTCCCCGCAGCACCCCATGGCAGCAGGTCCCCCCAGCATGCTGTTTTCCCAGTTAGAAGACCTCGTGGTGCTGATCCCTCCTGGGGACACTCTGGTAGGACCACGAGGTCTGGTGAGAACTGGTGTGGGGAGCAGGCATGGAGCCCACAGTGCCAGCACCTGGGGTGAGTGACACACAGGGACAAGGCAGGAGCAGACTGGGTGCAGCGTGGCGACAGACTGGGCAGAGCTGGTGGTGGGGACAGCCCCAATGGGGACCACAGGGAGCCCTCGGGTGTTCAGGCTGGGCTGGATGACAGTGGCATGGGGCAAAGCCAAGAGTGGCCCAGGCCATGGCACCGTGCGGCTGCAGGGGTGACAGCAGGTTGTCACCTGCCTGGGGCAGCAGGGGGGAGACCAGCTCTGCTACCTTCTGTGCGTTCATGTTCTGCTGTTTGTGAAGGCAAGCAATAAAACAACGAAAAAAAAAAAAAAAAAAAAAAAAAAAAAAAAAAAAAA